GGAAAAGTATAGGGAATCTCCTTCCATGCAATTAACTGCCTCTAGAAACCTGTTGGAGGGGCTGGAGGGGCTGCAGGGTCAGCTACGGGTCTGTTCTGACTCGACAGCTCACTTTACCACCACACGGTGTGGTATGCAGTGCACTGGACTGCTAACAGTAGGGCCAGCAGTTTGAGTCCACCAGCTGCTCTGGGTAAAGCCGTTTCCTCCTGTAGAGATTTGTAGCCTTGGAAACCCGATGACGGGGTCACTCTGAGTCAGAGACAAGAGTTGTTGGGGGTTTGTTTTGTTTTACTTCTGGTAACGTAGTCATTGAAGTGTGTGGAGGAAAATCAAAACTCACCAACCAATCAGAAGGAGAAATAAACAATCTCTTCCTGTAATGTTTCACAGCCTCTGAAACCCTGTGAAGGGCGGCCATGAGTTGGGATCTGTTTGGCAGCAGTGGGTTTCGTTTCTTTTTGGTCCTCCCGAGCCTGGTGCTGACACACTTCTCTTCAGCCAATCCTTTGGTCTTCAACCGCTTCTGGTACCGGAGTGAGGGCCCTGGACCGGGAGTCTGAATTCTGATGTGTGTGACACTGGGCTGCCCCTTCTCCTCTTGGCCTCAGCTTTCCCAGCAGTGAGATGAAGGCGTGGGGCACGTGCTCTGGCCTCTGACTTCCACTTCTCTGTCATGACCTCATCGCCCCCACTTCACAGACTTGTACACGGAGGCTGAGGGAAGCTAAGTCACTCCATCAATGTCTGAGTGGTAGATCTAGGATCTGAACCCAGACATTCCAGCTCCACGGTCACCAGTCTTGACCACCTCACCAGAGAGACAATCTATTGCTTTAGTTTTTGCCCCTCACGATCAAGAACCTTCCATGGCTCCCTCTTACCTGAGAAAGGCAGTGAAAACAAGCTCATTAAAGTCGGTGTCTACATTTGACCATCTAAGGCTCCAGAGTGGAAGCTCCTTTCCCTAAGATGAGTCTCCTTCTCCCTGGAACAGTTCATCTGCTTTCTTCTGGAAGCCCCTGCGCTCTCTCCAGCTGCCTCCATCCCTGTGTCCTAATTAGCTTAATAACCCCTTGTCCTTCCTGGGCGAAGGTGCTCCAAGCCTGTACTGTTGTCCATGATCACACTTAAGACAGTGAGCTTGGTCAAATAGGTATCATTATCCCCACTTTATAGGTGAGACTATTGAGGAGGCCCAGGGAGATTGTAGTTTACTCAAGGTCACCTAGTTGATATATGTGACCCCAATCCCACCGGAGCCTGGCCCTGGGCTCTGGTGCTGACACCACTGAATCCTTGGCTTAGGCGGTGCCTCCTGTCCCCTGAGTTAGGGTCACTTTCTCTGTGTGACACTCTTGTTTGAGCCACACTCTCCTGGGTCCTCTGTTGAGCAGAAAGATTTCTATTCTTATTACTCCACAAAAGGCTTTGTCCTGGAGGTGTTGGGGAGCTGGGCTAATGCACCCTAAATCCAAAGATTCCATTCTGGGTGGGGCTTTCAGTCTCCAGAGGGACCATCAGGGTGCTCAGTCCTGTCCCTAGGGGGTTGGTGCTCAGGGGAGAGTTTGCGGCTGGGGGTGGTGTTTCCTCAAGGGTTTGCAGGCTTCCCTGGGGATCTGGAGGTTCAGCCCTCTGCAAATAAGTCTAGGGAGGCGCTGAGGGTAGCCCAGAGCATGACAGGGAGCCCTTTCAACCTGAGGCTTTCTCTCCACGTCTCTGTCTTTCTGACGTCATGTTCCTGGCTCCATCTCTCTGGGTCTCTGCCTCTGTGTCTCCACACCTCCTTTCCCAGCTCCTCCATGTTCCCTGATGGTGCCTGGTCCCATCCCCGGGCTAGAATAGGCCTGAGATACCAACAAAGTCGAAGCAGGACTGCCAGATGAAACTCAGGATGTCTGGTTCAAGTAAACAATGAATATATTTTTAGTGCAAGTATATCCTGAATAGTGGGACATAGAATTTTTAAAAAAATGAAATTATAAAAGATCTGAAATTAAAGTCCAATCAAAAGCACTCATGGCTGTGGAGTAGGAACTGACTCATAGCTGACCCTCCAGTGGTTTCTCAGAGGCTATAAATCACATGGGAGGAGATTCCCCATCTTTCTCCCTCAGAGCAGCTGGTAGGTTTGAACTTCATACCTTGACAGCTCAAGTCCTTACCACTAAGCCACCACAGCTCCCTTCAAATCTAACTGTTGTTGTTGCTATGTACTGTCAAGATGACTATGACTCAAAGCAACCCTATAAACAACAGATCTGAGCCTTGCCCTATCCTGTGCCAACCCCATTGTCCCTGACACTTCTGATCCCATTGCTTCAGTCACTGTAGCAATCCATCTCATCCGGGATCTTCCTACTCTTCCAAGCATGATGTCCTTCTTTAAGGACTGGTCCCTTCTTACAAAATGCCTAGAGTATGTGAGAGGGAGTTTCAAAATCCACCCTCTGTTTTAATTCACTAAACCTGACGAACCTCCCTGGGATGGGATACAGCAAGTGGTGAAGGCGTCTGGCAGCCACACGCTGGTGTGGCCCCACCTAGGGGGGTACAGCTTGGGGCTGGGGCTCACCCATTTTAGACAAGTCACAGAATCACACCTGGGGAGGAGTGGGGAGAGAAATCTACCCTCCTCGAGAGAGGTGTGTACTGGAAAAGGAACGACCACCTCTGCAACTTTGAGCCTCAGTTTCCCTACAAGGAATTGGAGCAGTAGTTCCCTTCCTCCCTGCTGCGGTGAGAATGAGATGAACTCCTATAGGAAAAGGCTCAGCCTATAGGAAAAGGTTCCAATGGGGTAGAAGGGCTGTGCATGGGGGCTCCAGGGCTATGGTTAGTGGTGTTACTACTCCTGGAGAGGTGGTCGTAAGTGTGTGGACTCAGGATCCACATGCCCTAGGCTTGCTCTACCACTTATTACCTTATATGGCCTTGGATAGATCATTGTTATTGTTGTTGTTGTTGTTGTTGTTGTGTGCCATTGAGTGAGAACCAACTCATAGCTGACCCTCCAGCAGTTTTTTCAGAAGCAATAAATCACATAGGAGGAGATTGGCCATCCTTCGCCTGTGGAGCAGCTGGTGGATTCAAACTGCATGTCTTTGGGATTGTAGCATGGCTTTTTACCACTAGGCCACCAGAGCTCCCATTTGGATAAATTGGCTAGATTACATAACCTCAGTACACTCACCTGTGGAATAGGGATGGGACACTAATGGGACCTGAAGCTATGCTTGACTTTTCACAGATCAGAAGGGGCATTCATAGAGAACAGGCTTTAACAAAGCTTCCAGACTGAGAAAGACTAGGAAGAAAGGCCTGGCAACGAACTTCTGAAAATTTCCCTAGGAACACCCTATGTATAATACCAAAAATCATGAAGATGGCACAAGACTGGGTAATGTTTCTGTTAGTCATGGGTTGTCATGAATCAGAGCTGACTCAGTGATAACTATAAAACAGCCACGGAGGGTTACTGAGAGGATTTGATAGTCTGCACAGAGAAGTTCAAGTAGGGCTGGTATACAGCAGAGGCTTAACAGGTTACTGTTAACCCCCAAGGGCTGTGTGCACCGCCCCTTCAGCTCACGCTGGCCTCACCATAAATGGGATCCCGTGACTCTGAGCCAGTCTGTCTGTGCTGCAGTGTTCAGTCCTCGCCCGCCCCCCCTCCCCATGGAGGATCAATGGTTCTGGAGCAGGAGGAAGACCAGCAGGTGTATCTGCACTAGCTGGGCTGTATCTGCATGCACAGCAGGCTCCCCCGGCACAATCAGAGATGGACAAACTGGTGCTCAGTGGGACTCCTAGACCAGACGGACTGGGGAAGCACAGTCCCAGGGGGCAGGGGACTGTTGTGTGCTTGAATGGCCACATTTCCTAGGTGATGACGCTATGTTTCTGTAGAATAGAACCACCTTGGTAGCAGAGAGATCTGGGTGACTCTATGATTTACTGCTGTGTGATCTTGAGTTGCTTTCTTGACCACTCTGGTCTTATCTCACATATTTTGGGTATGTTGCTAGGAGAGGCTATTTCTTGGAAAGAGACATCATTCTTGAAAAGGTATAAGGTCAACCAAAGAGAGGAGGACCTTCACGAGAGGGAGTGGCACAGTGGCTGAAGCAATGGGCTTAAGTGTGTTAGAGATGAGGATGGCACAGGATAGGACAGGGTTCAGATCATAAGGTCACTATGGGTCGTAGTGATTCAACAGCACCTCACAACAGCAACAATGGGATGACTCGGCTAACCTTGCAGACTTATAAAAAGTAAAATATGAAAACACCTCAAATTCATTGCCATTGACTCGGAACGGACTCATAACTGATCTTCCAGTGGGCTTTTAGAAGCTGTAAATTACATGGAAGAAGATCCATTCTCCTTTGGAGCCACTGGTGGATTTGAACCATTGAAGGCATGTCACCTTTGTGTTTGCAGTGCAACTCCCTGTAAACGATGCAACTGGAGCTCCTGCTATAATGATAGAGGGAGCTGGGGAAATGTGTGTGTCTAACACACAGCAAGCATTCAGCAAAAGTTCACGCTCTTTCTGAGCGAAACCACCAAGCTTACCTCACTACCTGCTAAGCAGGGATGCCAGGGACTTGGGATGAGAGACGCTCATTTTTGAGCCACAGTCTCAAACTGTAAGAGGTCCCCTCGCTGGCTGTTGGCTGGTGTGAACTTTGGAGATCAGCTCTGCACCAGTGTCTCACCAAGCTGGCAGCTGAGTCCTGACCTCCATACAGCTTGCAGCCCTTTGGATTGTAAAGAAATTCCCAAGGCCAAGATCCATGAGTACAGAGCCCTTAGAATGTGAGACTGTGTATAATCAGAGTGGGATCCAGGCTTGCCTCCCAGGGACTTACCATGAAGCTATATGGAGCCTGGGGTGATCATGGGAGGCTTCCTGGAGGAAGCACGTTTGAGCCACAGCCAAAGCATCTGAACAAGGCTGCCCCTTCAGCATTACCATGTCTGCTTGTTCTTCCCAGGTCAGTACCAGAAGGCACTGAGATGTTCGAGGTCTATGGAACACCAGGCGTGGACATCTACATCTCTCCCAACATGGACAGGGGCCGGGAGCGCGCTGAAAGCAGGCGGTGGAACTTTGATGCGGGGACAGATATCATTGTGGTCATGAACTCTCCCAGCAATGACCTCAACGACAGTCATGTGAGCTGGTCCCTGGTCTTGGGATGGAGGGAGGCGAGGAAGCAGTGATCTAGCCCCACAAGGGTATAACCTCTCCCTATACTGGAGCGTAAGATAGTGCAGTGGGTAAGCTCCTGGCCCCAAAGCCAGATTGCTGGGGTTTGAACTCCAGCTCTGCATTTTACAGGTACAAACTGTATACTTTGGGAGAACTCCATAATGTCCCTGGGCCTCAGTGTCCCCTCTATAAGATGGGTATAGTAATAATGCTGAAGTAGGAAGGGAACACGAGTCAGTCTTTGCTCTGTATCTTGTTCCCTGAGATTCCTTGTGAAAGGGAGAGTTGTCCCAGTTCTGCTGTCTTGGGCCTCAGTTTCCCCATCTATAGATGGAGGGGTGACTGAGTGGTCTCTTTATTCTGAATGAAGGAGATGAAGCAGGGACAGAGAAAGGAGGAGGGCTGCTGCCTGAGAAGACCCTCTTTGTAGGTGACAATACCCCATGGTACCTCAATTCCTCTTTCTTGGCTGTTCTCAGAACAGCTAAACAGTGGGAGAAATGGGGGTGGCCTTTGAGCTTAGCATGACGATGTTGCATGAAAGGCTGATAGGATTGAGTACTTAGTATTTCAAGAGAGATATCTTGGAAAGCTAAGCTTAAAGGCAGCACTGGCCAGTGTGCCAGAGGAGGCCTGGCAGTGCAGTGGTTACTAACAGAAAGGTTAGGAATTTGAACCCTCCAGCTACTGTATGGGAAAAAGATGTAGAATTTTGCATTCATAAAGATGGAAACCCTAGGAGGCAGTCCTATTCTGTCTTATAGAGTCACTGTGTTGTTGTCGGATACCTTCAAGTCAAAACTGACTTATACCCAAGCCTCCAGTGATTTTCAGAGGCAATAAATCGCATGAGAGGAGATTGCCCATGTTTCTCCCAATGGGTTTGAACTACATACCTTTGAGTTGGTAGTGTGACTCCTTACTTCTAAGCCACTAGAGCTCGGGGTCACTATGAGTCAGGGTCAAATCAATAACAGAGGGTTTGGCTTGTATTGGGATCATGTGCCAGGGGCTGGGGCACTGTGACCTTCTCCAACCCTCTCGACAGTCTAAGAGGCATAGGTTCTGCTACCCATTTCACAGATGGTCAGAGTATCTTCCCCAGGGCCACACAGCTGATGCATTAGAGAGCTAGAGTCCAACACAGACCTGCCTGACCTCTGGGACAGGTTCCCTGTGCCTCGTCCATCTCTGTGCCCACCTCTGAACTTATGCTTTCCACAGCTCTGTGAGGCGTGTACACCAAGATGCATGGAACCCATTTTACATACAATGAGACTGAGACAAAGAATGATTATGATTTTCCTAAAGTCACATGACTTAATGAGTGGCAGTGTTAGTAAGGGCCAGGATGAAGTGGCCAGGGAAAGGCAAGAGGACCAGGTAGCCTGTGAGGGGTCACCCTCTGGGTGCCTTTCATAAATAGAGGGAGTTCCTTGGCCCAAGTGATTGGTGTCATTAAGGAAAATGAGAACTCCCCACCCCTGCCTCTCCTTGTCTGGGAACCTGGCAATTGCTGAGGTGTGAGACTTGGGGTCAGACTTAGGAGCTCCCAGGACTGCAGGGTGAAGTGGATTCAGTGAGATGCTGAATGTGGTAGGGATGTCAGAGTCAGAGAGAGGAGGGAACGCCCAAGGGGAGGGCTGTGGTCCAAAGGGATGCTGATACAGTCACCTGCATCATCTCTCTCTCATCCTCATCCTTCAACAGTTAGGGATGCTTGAAATGTGGCAGGAACTGGGCTGAGCCTGTCACACGTCACACCAGGAAGGCTTGACAAGGCAGGGGCTAGTACTGTCCTCATCAGACAGTTGAGGAAACTGAGGCCCAGAGAGGGTGAGTTACTTTCCCCGGTGTCTTCAGAAGTGGTGAGTCCAGTCCCAGGGCATCTGAGTTCAGCTCTCAGAATTAATTGCATCTTTGCGCGCTGCCACCGGCCTATGAGTAACAACAGCTGCTATTTGTTGGACGTGCCCTTCAGGCTCGGTCCTCCCCCCACAGTGTCTCTAAGCTGCACCACTAGCTTCTGAGGTAGGGAGCTGAGTAGTTCTCATTTTACTGGTAATCAAGATCACTTATGAATCCAGAAGTGCAGGCTTGAGTCCAGGCCTGTCTGAGTCCCACAGATAGGGACACCGACATGGAGAGGGTCCCTAAACTCCACTCAGCCTGAACTCTCCCTTTGCGAGGTGGAAACTGACACCCCAAAGAGAACAAGGGCTTTCCAAAGTCATACAGCAAGTCATGGGCAGTGCTGGGATCCACATCGGTGGGACTCCTCACAAATGGTTCCCATTTCACAGGTGTACCAACCGAGGCACAGAGAGGTAAACATCACAGATGATGCTAGAGAGAGCTGCAGCATTGAACAGAACCTTAGTGCATGGTCTTTTGGGGTGAGGGGCTCTTGGCTTCAGGTCCTGCCTGAGTCTGGGGTTGTCTCTTTACAGGTTCAGATTTCTTACCACTCCAGCCAAGAGCCCTTACCCCTGGCTTATGCCGTGCTTTACCTCACTTGTGTTGGTAAGTCAGGGGCCATGGAGAAAGTGTCGTCAGGGAGCCTTGGCCAGTGGGTGGGGGTGGGGTGGGGGGTGGGAATGATGGTTTTCTGGTTGGGTTCCCCCCCCATTTAAAAACAATTTATTTTAATGAAAGTTTACAGACTTTGGATTTCCTTTCATTCATTGTTGCACACTTTCCTCCCTGCCCACCCTGGGAATGATGGTTTTTACAGAATTTGACTAGTTGGGGTTTTTTTTTTAAAAAAAAAAGTTAAAGAAATAGATCATTTAAAATTTCAAACATTACAAGACAGAATACATTTAAAAACAAACCTCCCTCTTCCTTCTAACCCAAAACTTCCCATTCCCCAAAGCCACCATCCTTCTAGAGATGTGCTGGACTTATTCTAGAATGTACCTTCTCCTGGAGCATTAGACTAGAATGTTCACCCTTCATGCTAAGGAACAGAATCTACTATGTACATGGACCCCTTTTTTTTCCAATCCAAGAGGTTTTTGTCTTGCTAACTTTTTACAGAGAGGTATGTAAACTCCTTGTAAAATGACTCAGGTGGTGGGACTAGCAGACTGGGAATATAAGGTAGCTGTAATTAATATTTTAAAGGCTCTTGTGGGAACAACAGGCATGAACAGGTGGGGAATTTCATCAGAGTGTCATAACCGATAAGAACCAAAGGGAAATGCTAGACATAAAAGTCATGGGTCGCAGATTTGACACAGCACAAGAAAGAACCAGGGAACCTGCAAATAGAACATAAAAAGTTACCCCAGTGAACAAATGGAAAACTGTTGGAGCAGAGTTTTGAGAGCTGTGGGACAGTATCAAACCACCTACACTCAATTAACAAGACTGGCATCCACTTCCTAAATTACATGCCTCCAGAAACTCTATGAACTTTGATAAATGTTGATAATTGCAGAGGGGGTTCAGGCTTTTTGTGCACAGGGTTGCTAGGAGTTGTACTCGAAGGCAATCAACAACAACAACGTCATCTGAATGTTGTTCTGTCAAGTCACATATGACTGATAGCAACTCTACGAACAGCAGATCTGAAGCCTGTCCTACCCTGTGCCATCTTTACAATCTCTGACACACTTGAGCCCATTGCTGCAGTCACCGTGTCAATGCATCTCATTGACGATCTTCCTCTCTCTCACTGGCCCTCCACTGTTCCAAGTATGGTGCCCCTTTCCAAGAAACAGCCCCCTCTTTACAACATGTCCAAAGTATGTGAGATAAAACTTTGTCCTCTTTACCTCCAGGGCTCACTCGGCTTGTATTTTCTCTAGGACACGTTGTTGTCATGTGGAGGAAAAGAGCTGAGAACACTACCTCATACTTAAATTCCAGATGAATTGACAGTTTTAAGGTGAAAATTTAAAAAAGAAAAAGCTTATACTATCTTTATAATCTCAAGATAGTGACAAGGTCTTTAAAAAGACAAGACAAGCATTTTCTTTTTTTTTTT